CCTCCCTCTCTTGCCCTCCACAGCTCAAGAAGTCCTGGGGTTCCAAGGACACCCCAGCTAAGGCCCTGATGAGGCAGCGGGGCGCTGGAGGGGGCCCCTGGGCTGAGGTGGACTCCCGACCCCTGGCCTGGACCAAGAACTTTGGTGGCCCCCGCCCCCCAGCCGCTGCCCGCCGACTCCACTACCTGTCCCCAAACCAAAGGAGGTTTGGTGAAGACGCCATGTCCAAACTCCCGGAACCCAGAGGCACCCGGCAGCCAGGCTGGACCCCCAGGGCAGGACCTGGGGGCCGACTCTGACAGGAGCCAAGCCCAGGCCTCGCAGTCTGCCCGGACAGGGGTGCTGGCTTCAGCGTCTGGGAAGCGGAAGGCTTTTCTTTTCCAGTTGTTCTGGAACTCGGGCGCGGGGCGTGCCATTCTACCTCACTGGCACAGTCTAGAAAATGGGCACAGAGCTGGGACCCTGGAGCTGCCCACAGCCCGCTCCGCCAGGCCTGGCTCAGCGGCTCCCCGGAACTGTGTGGGGTGAGCACGGGGAGTCCCCAGGATAAAAGGGGGTGCTCCTCACACCCGTCATGGTCAGGAGCTGTGGGTAAACTGAGTCGGAGCCCACTCTGGGGAGCCAGGAGGCGGGCAGAGATGAATAGCAGAGCCTGGAAGGTCCTGGGGATGTGCCGGGAGACAGGCTGATTAGAGGGGCTGGGGTAGAGCTGGGAGCCATGTGTGGGTGCTGGGGGGTGCTGCTGGGGCTCCCCTCCACTTCTGCTCAGAATAAAACCGCTTCATGCCAAAAACTTGCATTTCCACAGCCTGGCCCAGAGCCAGGAGCCCCCCCGCCCCCGCAAACCGGGAGTCTGGGCCCTCAGACCCCCCGCTGCAGATCCCTGCCCCAGGGAGCGGGTGACCAGTGCTGAGCGCCCCTGCAGCCTCGGCCTTGGCTGGGACTTTCGGGTGGGAAAGAGGCCCTCCTCGGGGTCTCTTGCTGGGTGCCCACACCCACTGTGCTGATGCCACACCCCCTACGTCATGCATCCTGAAGCCAGGGCAGGAGTGATGTGTTTATTCTCGGAGTCACGGGTGGGGGGCTTCGGGGCCGGGGCTGCGGTCGGCTCTGGGCTCTGGCTTGGGGTTGGAGCTGGTGTCCTCCAGGTTCTCGGGAATGTCCCAGGGGAAGGCTGGCTGTCCCTGCATCTGCTCCTGGTATACGCGGTCAAAGGCTTCGCTCTGTGCCACCGTGAAGTGGTTCTTCCAGTCGCCGCAGACCCCTGCAGGAGAGGCAGGGCAGCGGGGTGAGGGCCGGGGCTTGCGGAGGGCCATCCCACCCGGTGCACCGCCTTCCACCTCCCCGCCTTGGCCACAGGCGATGCCTCCCATAGCTCTATTCTGCCCTCTCCTTTGGCCGTGGCTGGTTCTTAAGAAATCTGCCCGTCACCTGGCCAGACCCCTGGGCACCTTCTCTCCTTACCTGGTCCCCTCTGTCCTCCCCACCCCCAAGACCTCCCTCACTCCTCCCCTGAATCCCTACCTCTTAATCTGCTGTGCCCAAATCATCTTACCTCACCTCTTTCAGCCCCACGTCTCCTCCTCTAACCTGTCCCTAACCTGGGGGCCAGCTAGTAATTCCGTGTCCCTGGGCAAGCGTGGATCCTGAGCCTGTTTCCTTATCTCCTCATGGGACCTTCATCTGGGGACACCACCCCTTACCTGGAATCTGGGAGCCAGTCTGGACTGAGGGCTGAATACGGACCCCTCCCCAAGACGCCCACCTCCTAACCCTTGGGATCTGTGGCTATGGCCTTCCGTGGCAGAGCCGTGCAGTGGTTGGGTCAGAGCTGGACAGACTCAACAGGGTGTGCTTAGGGGGCAGGCAGGAGGGTTGGAGTCATGGGGGGGCTTCCTTCTGGCTTTGAGGGTGGAGGGAGAGGCTGGGAGCCTGAGAATGCAGGCGGGCCAGGAACAGGCCACCAGAGATCCCCCACCCCCGCCTCCAGCCCACGGCCGCCCCTGCACGCTGGGCACCCGCCAGGGAGCC